ATCAGTGATTCCCCTTCACCATTCCCAATCCTCATGTATTTATTGGTAACAAACATCCTGGAGGTACCAACCTGGGGGTTTGGGCGTATGTTTTACACCCAGATCCAAAATAAACACCCTTGGGCGTATGTTGTGTGCCAGAAACACCCTGGGGCGTTTCATGCGGGCCTTTGCCCAAACGTGGGTGCCAGAAACACCCTGGGGCGTATCATGCGCGCATTTACCTAAACGAGAAACACCCTTGGGCGGTTCACGCGTGCATTTGCCTAAACGTGGGCGTTTAACTTGTCGTCCAAAAATTGCAGCTGAAACCAGAAAATACAAGTTATCAGCCGTACATGACATGGGCCATGGGCAAGTTATCGGAAAAATGTGAAAATCTAAATGTCTCCAATCTCTCATGCTATCATCTATTTATGTCTCTCTATCCTTACCCCTTATCTGTCTATCATCTTCCCACATATACGTACAGCTATAAAAAGAAAAACATAAACATGTGATTGCGCGAACGACATTGTAAAAAGACCGTCATCATCTGTTCACGAGAAAATGCCGTCATGACAAATTGAAGAAAAACATGCACGACAAACTTCGAGATTGAATATGGGTCCACTATTAGATTTAGAAATCTGTACGGAACCAAATCTGGTGACAAAACAATTGCACAAAAAAAATGTCGAACAATCTGCAAGAAAAAATCATATGACCATTGAAGATGTCATACGCACAGCTGCATGTCACAATCCCAAAAATCCTTTGGCATGTTTTCTCAGCTGCCATCACGCTTCGCAAGTTTAATCGCTCTCCATAGCAACGCCCGTTTCAAAACATAGCGTCGTGCCCATGTCAGCATGTATGTTCCGCCGTGGCATCCTTGGCAAATACAACGCACCTTTCCCATAAAATCTTCGTCACCAAAGGTCGATAAATGCATCAAACAAATCTCTGTCTCCTCAAAGACATCAATCATGTGGCAGAAGTAGTGGGTTTTGGGGCGGATTTTGTAGAGGAGACGACGTTCAGTCAAACATTGAGCAGCAAGCCACTGGTACGATGCAGAATGTAGCCTGCAAAGCCATGTGACTTCTTCCACCGTCGGCGTTGGCATGACAACTTCATCGTTCATATTCCATGAACTAAGGGCAACGTCCAGCGACCAACAACACACTGCACGCATTTTGCCATGCAGCTTTTTGGCAGCCGTATCCAAAGCACATGAATCAACCAGCTTTACCATAACCCAAGCGGTGAATGCAAAAAGTGCTCTTGTCCGGGCAGCCTTAATGCGGGTGTCCAGGGCAGGCATGGGCCAATGGCGGTACTTCGGCCGGCCAAGTCTTGCCATTGTAAGGGTTCCAATGCCGAGCTGCATGTTTTGATCTGTAGCCCATGCCGCTGCTAGATGGCTGAAAGCATGCAGGGTATCATCCCAACTTCTGCCAGTCATTCCAAAAAAACATTTGAAGTGATCCATCTTCCAATGAACTGATTATGGCCGCAGGAATGAGATCTCGCAAAGTTCCCAAATGCACAATGTGCAGAAGGTCAAACAAGCGTAGCTTCTTCTCAAATCCCGGAACTTGTGTCCATGGGGATCTGTCATGTGGATCTGAAGGTGTAAGAATACTCCGCCACAACGATCTCAGAGTCAAATCTCCCCAGCTGAGTTCTGGTGATCTTCTGTCCGTGGTTGCCAAGCAAAAATCACAGCATTGCGCGCATCTGTAATACCGTTGAGTCTGGGTAATAAGGTGGGCGTACGCATGAGCTTCCATGTCACCTTTCCAGAAGCAGAAAGCCTCAGCAAGCATGCTGCAGCAGTGACTGTGGGGTATGGATGATATCATACAGATTGATCCCCTTGGCTTTGTCATGTTTTATGGACAATTAACCCATACACCCACTAATGCATGTTTGTTTTTTAAAAGCATCTATGAGGCTTGCGCCCCCTTCATCATGGGAGTTGCATGACATGTCATGAAAACCGACATGGTTGAACTTTTTTGTCATACGCGACATGTGCTATATATGGCATTTGTTATATGCCTCATGAAAACGTCTGAGGATTGAACTTGTGCCAACTCGTTGGGTGGTTCCCCGATCATCTTGAAAAGCCTAGCCACTGCTTTCATTGAAAATTTCTCTCCCGCCAGCTTTTCCCGTTTCGAACCAAGTGGATGAAATCGTCCAGTGTGATTGACGACGTCATAGACTCCAGCTTCCAATTGTTTCATGTCCCAAGCCACAATCTTGCAAATCTCGCGCCTAGTCTCTTCAGTTACCTGCGAAGTGCCCATGATGGCGATAGCGTGTCTGCTTTTCCAGGAATCATTCCGGAGACATCCAGTGCTCCAGCTCCAAACCGTAGCGGTGCTGCCTCGCATAAAACAAGTCAGCTGTTGTTGTCATGATATGTTGCCGTGCTATCCCAAAAACTTCTCAGCTGATGCATGCATGTCCAGATGCCTGAAAAATGAGGAACTCCATCTTCATGTATGATAATTGGAATGCATGATGCCATGTGGTCACGTCCAGACGCACGCCAAAGTTTGCCAAAATCATCATGTGACCCCAAGCATTCGGCCATTGCCTCAGCGAAAAAAGGTAAGTCGGCAATTCAAAACATGGAAAAACAAAATGGAAAAAATGGAAAAACAAAATTCAAAACATGATGCATGTGTGCATTGCAAATGCTGGTGGCAAGACGCATCAGGCCCTTGATCATATAGAGCTTGTAAGTGGTCACTCGGCAGAACCACTGATATGCTGGCATTGCCACGACCATTTAACTGCGAACTCTTGCTGGCATCTGTTCTCACTGGGACCTCACATTTGTAGATGGGAATTGGCAGCTTCAGCCAACGAAAGAAGTCCCGCTCACGTGAGGCAACGAACTGTTTCGCACTCACCTGACATACACACACACATGAATCTCGGAAAAGACTGTTTGGGTTTGATTGCTGTCATGCACAGGCTATAAACCAAGTATAAAAAGTTGCAGCAAATCAAGGGCCAGCCTTCACACTCCCATCTTGAACAAAATCGCTAGCACAAGCAGCAGCACCACTCACAGAAAGTTTTCCCTCAGCAACCCGTTCAGCCATTCTGCAAACTAAAGCGCTGTCAATCTCATCCACAGTCCTAAGCTGAATACCAAAACACACCAACAGATGCAGCACTCTTCCATGAAACATGTGTCATGTGTTATGCACATCTCATCTGATGATGCCATGCATGAATGCTGCAGTGGGCAAGAATCATTTTTTTCCGGTACTTGTCGGGAAACTCAGGGTTTTCGTCAACATCAGGCCTGCGCGGGACTGCATGGCAGCACTCCAAAAATGCACAAGTGGCTGTGTAACATGTCTGACGCAATTGGGCGTCGCAACTGCTTTTATCTAATCCGAATTCAAATACAAAATGACACCATTTTCTTCTCCGCAGCGCTCCCGACACATCATGTATGGCCGTATGCCAAGCTAAGCAGACTTGGTTGTGTCACTTGCCCCAACGTTTGTAAGAATGAAATTGCACACCCATGGCTCATCCCGGGCTGTCAGGCTCGGGTTCTCAGAGCCGCCCCGGCAATTAAATCCAAACATCGCCAGCGCACTGACATGCCCTGCAAGCAGAAAAAAGCCTATGATCGCCAATGGTGTCGTCCACCATCTGTCAAGCATTCCTGTATATATACAGTGTGTAAGTATTTCTGGTAGACATCTGCAGAGCTGCAAGTTTCTTTATCTTCAGGGTTCTTCAAACTTTCAACAAAACTGCCATGGATCCACCATCAGGCAATCGTCGGCCTAGGCTTTTGACTTTGCCTTGGCCTTGGCTTTGCTAGCTGGTTTTTTATTTTGCTGCCTCGCTAAGGCATTACCGGCCGCGTAGGGCTTCTCAAACTGCTTCTGGAGGCAAATGAACTCTTTCACATGTGGGATGTAGTCATCCTCCTGCATGAAGCCAGAAGGCAAACCACAATGCCAAGCGATTGCATTTTCCCAAGGGCAGGAATAATCTCCATCCATGTGAATCATTGGCATGGAAATGAAAGGTTACAAAAATCCCAGGGTCAAAATTTGGTCCACGAGAAGGTAAACACCGCTGGCCGCAATCATGTTAATCTGTCCTCATTGTTCTGGGCGTTCACAAGGGCCTGCGTCTTCAGGTAGAGATCCCTGAGCGGGCCATGCAAAATTTATGTCGCAAGGGGTGCATCGATGAAAACATGTCAGACCATGCTTGCTCAGCCCAAAACAATGCAAACGTACAAGCTTAACATATATATATATATACTCATATTATACATATACATATCTATGAAAAGTAAATCGGGAATATATATGTATATATCGCATTAGGATGCATTGGGTGCATCTCGAGACCATGCATGGTTGTCAAAAAATGGCTGCCAAGGCACTCAAACTTCTTTGCGAATGCAGTCATCTCTGAGCTCAAAGCATCCGCATATGGAATTGACTGCAAAGTCAAGCCAAGATTGCTCGCATCGGACTTTCGTTTCAAACATTTGCCGCACATGTCTTTGGCCTTTTGCAAGGGCGTCAGGGGAAGCTGCTCTTCCGGGGTCTTTTTCCTGGGTTGCTTCTTGGGAGGTTCCTCCGCACGCGGAGTGCCAGGGGCTGACGCTGGTGTTGTTGGGCTCGTAGTGCTGCTGTCCGACGGGGCCGGCCTCTTGGCCGTAGTCTTTGGTGGGCCCATCCTTGCAAACACAGTCAAAACATCACAACCAATTACATGCACAGATTCCACACATGAAATCATCTGACTCTTGCACAGTGGTAAATTCCAGTTCTCATGTAACAGCAAAACAGCTCATGCCCATATGCTAAATAATTCCACTTAGTGTCATGACCTCTGCAACCTCAGCGACATTGGCCGGGGTCACCTGAACTCTGCCAGTGCTCATCATAGTACCTCAAGATGAAAAACCATTCGGCACAAAAACAGTTTCATTGCCAATGAAATTTGACTGTGCCAGCTTAAATTGCCGACAGAATGTTCATGGAAAAAATGCGCAGCACATCCCAGCCTGATCTGTTGTAGTTGTCCTCCTCATCCTCACGCTGGGCAATGAGGTACACAATGCCGCCTGGGTTGTTCTCATCTTCCTCAATCATCCCAATGGACTCCTTAAACTTCATGACTTTGTCGGCATCTTGTCCATAAGAATCCTCCATCTGCTTCTTGGTAAAACGCAGAGCTTTCTTCTTGGCTGAGAAAACCCGACCAACTTCCTCCTGCTGCTGCAAGTTCACCTGAACTTGCTCCAGGTTGCCACCATTTTCACACAGCATGGAAATCAAATCGTTCTTCTTCTTTTCCTCAAAAACCATCTTGCGAAGTGATGGCAGGCCATCCAACCTGGAAGGATTCTTCTTGAGCCTTGCAAGCAAATTTGCAGCTGCTCGGCGGCTGTACTCTGCATCCATGGGCTGTGGCTTGGAGCTTTGCACTGGCAAAGGCTGGCGCACAACCGGCTCCAACTTGACAACAGCTGCAGGCTGAGGGCGGGCAGGAAGTGCCTGATTGGGGCCTGTCTGCGAATGCAAATCTGGCGGAAGTTGGAAAACTTGACTCTTCTGCCGACGCAACATATTTGCATTGTCTGCTGAACCATCAACATGCTCCGCAGCTGATGTGCCATGAGGGCTGGCCTGAGGTCGACATGACTTGCCAGTCAGCCAACCTATAGCTTGCAAGTCTTTGTCAGCTTGCTCTCGTTCTTTTGCTTCTGCCGCTGCCACCTCTGGCTGCTGTGTCTTTTGCTGCTGGCTTTGCTGAGGGACTGCTGGCTGAGCAGCCACTGCAGGTGCTCGAGGCCGTGCACGTTCTGGTGCTACATTTGCCAAAGTCTGCACGGGGGCTGCTGGCTGTGGAGGCTGCTCAGGTTGGTTAACCATCTGATTCGCCATGGGCACTGCAGGGACAGGCAAAGGCTGCAGAGGTTGGACCATTGCTGGCTGTGGAGGCTGCTCAGGTTGGGTAACCATCTGATTCGCCATGGGCACTGCAGGGACAGGCAAAGGCTGTACAGGTTGGACCACTGCTGCCTGCGGAGGCTGCTCAGGTTGGGTAACCATCTTCGCCATGGGCACTGCAGGGACAGGCAAAGGCTGCCTAGGTTGGACCACTGCTGGCTGTGGAGGCTGCTCAGGTTGGTCAACCATCTGATTCGCCATGGGCACTGCAGGGACAGGCAAAGGCTGCAGAGGTTGGACCACTGCTGGCTGTGGAGGCTGCTCAGGTTGGTTAACCATCTGATTCGCCATGGGCACTGCAGGGACAGGCAAAGGCTGCCTAGGTTGGACCACTGCTGGCTGTGGAGGCTGCTCAGGTTGGGTAACCATCTGATTCGCCATGGGCACTGCAGGGACAGGCAAAGGCTGCAGAGGTTGGACCACTGCTGGCTGTGGAGGCTGCTCAGGTTGGGTAACCATCTGATTCGCCATGGGCACTGCAGGGACAGGCAAAGGCTGCACTGGTTGGACCACTGGAACTGCAGGCTGTGGGACAACCAAACTCTGCACGGGCTGGCTAGGCATCAGGCTCGGTTGTGTCACAGGAGTCACTGGCGGGGCGATCTGCTGCACAACATGGGCCTGGGCAACTTGACCTGTCTGCACAGGCTGAGGTTCATGAACATCCTGAGGAACCACGGGCTGGGCAAGCATGGGACCTGCAGCATCGGGTGAAGAGTCCACAGTCGAGGCTTCCATCTCCATAGGCAATGTGTCCAGAGTGCACATGTCGACCTGCGAGCACATCAGTGGATTCAACCCAATCAAAGAAAAACAAACGATCATGCACATGTTATTTGCAACATCGAAGGTCAACATGTAAAACTTAGTGTTTTCCAATACCATTGGATTGAAACATCATGCGTCAATACAATGTCAAAACAACATGCACCCTGCTTTATAATCCATTTAAATTTCAAACGGTCAAAACACACCATAAAACAATATTATACACACCTATGGGGTTCATTTTTTACTAGTTTCCAGCCTGCGTTTCTCCAAAAGTGGCCATGCTTGGCTGCGTGTCACCCAATGGCATGGCTTGCAAGGGCATCGACAAGTTCAGACGTTTCCTTGGCAAACGGTTCACAAACAATGGCTATGCATTCATCCATGTCACACAGCACATTCAGGCATCTGCGAAGTTCATCTAATCTCAAGCCGGTTTCACCTTCATGGACTCTTGTACTATATACTTGTCTTCTAAACCTTTTAAACAACACGCATATACTGGATGAAATGCGTGGCAGCACACACTCAGAACCAAACCCATCAACATGCATCTGCACATCTGGAACGCTGGACTGGCTTGCGTGGACAGCACCTTGCACGGTGAACGCACGCCCCAACACTGATGAGTAGGGATCCTGAGTTCCCTATGAAAACACAGTTGCATTTTTTATGTCACAGGAAAATGATTCAAACACGTTGTGCATGTGATTCGCCTGGGGTTGCCGCATCCATGGCTTCACGAACAAAGCCAACCATGTACGGGTCGGTTGACTGAGGGGCCACAAAGGGGACCTCTTCCTTTACAGCCATGACCCTAAAGAACACTTGAACGTGCAAATGCAACGTACTCCCAAAAACAAATCTGCCAAACAGGAATCCAAGGAACATGACATGTGAAGACAATTCGAGGTCACGGTTGGTCACGGGTTGGTCACGGGTCGGTTCGGGTCTTTTCCCTTTCATTTCAATTGGGGCGTTTCTTGCAGGTCACGGTTGGTCACGGGTTGGTCACGGGTCGGTTCGGGTCTTTTCCCTTTCATTTCAATTGGGGCGTTTCTTGCAGGTCACGGTTGGTCACGGGTCGGTTCGGGTCTTTTCCCTTTCATTTCAATTGGGGCGTTTCTCACAGGTCACGGTTGGTCACGGGTTGGTCACGGGGTCCCGGGCTAATTTTCAAACAAAATATGTTGCAAACTGTTTTATCCATGTATTTTGGATTGTTTGCGAAAGTTCATGAAGTTCATGAGTGGAATGGCACCAAAACAAAAACCATGTAGTTGCAGGCTACACACATTCAAAGCATGGTACTAGGCTATATATGATGAATTCAAAAGAGGCCGGAGCCCCATGTAAGAAGATCATGCATGCATGACATGTGAAAAAAGCCGGATCCCCATGTAAAAAGATCACAATTCATTGAACAAAAGAAACAATGCCATCACTCACGTCCACTGTCAGAGTCCACTGTGTCCGGTTGTTGTCTCACCGTCTCACCTTTTTTCCCCCAAAGTTGGTCGCACTTGCAAGACAAATGTTATTAAAGGTAAATTGTGCAGGTCTCACATTTGAGAGCCATGTGAACGTCTAAGATCTTCCAAAGCCTCTACCAGCATCGCCTCTGAGAAATCAAAGTGCTTGAGTCTGGAGTACATTGCAATGCGCTCCTCCGATGGTAAAGCAACAAGTTTAGAACACTTCTGTGGATTCGCATATATGCATTCAGTATAGTTCACTAAAGAGATGTAGGTTGCCTCAAATTGCGGGCCTCAGCCAGGTTGACTGACACTGAATGCTAATTGAGCAAAAAAACTTGTGCAATGGACTTTGGTTTTCAAATCTGCTTCAACTCAATTTGAACATGTTGTGAGGGCCACAAAGCCTGAAACGGGGCTGTCCTTGATTGCATCTGCTGACAGATCGGCGCTTTGAACAAGACACCATCGCCTCCTCTCCCTCCTGATGCAAACGATGCATTGCCTTTGAATTTCTGTTCCACCAAAGACATGCGAACATGCGACTAGACTGTCCAAAAAAAACGCATGAAGCAACATTGTCAGCTTGCAAGGCAAACGAACCAGTCCCGGCAGACACAGGACCATGTGCTCTCCACCAGGCAGCTATTGCTCTACCGAACTCAGCAGTGTAGAGTTGGGTCTGCTTAAGACCAGGGCCACCTGCAACCTTCTTCTTCCCATTGGCATCTGTATACCTGGGCAACATGAGAAAGAATTTACCCAATGGGTCCCTTTTGGATGGTGTTTACAATCTCAGATTTCCGTAGATTTCCCATATGAAACCAAATTTTGTGTTAGTTATGATATAACTTTATAACGAAAAACAATCATTTAACCATGGAACTGGTAGGTAACTGCAGCATCAACTTGAGGTCGCTCGTCTGGTGGAGGTACTCTCATATTCATCAAATCTTCGAGGGATTCTGTTGAATACAAAGCAGTGGGCTTTAGAGTTGCTGCTTTGAAGCATGCCATGAAAAGCTGATTCAATTTCAGTCTCTGCCCCTTCCATCCCCGTTCTTCCGCTTCATGAAAATATGCAATCACGCTCTGCCATGATGGCAAAGCAACCATCACTGATCGGAGCGGTTGCTCCAAGGAAGGTACTCCACCTACCGCCCAGGCCAGCAATGCAAGAACGGCGGATCTGCCGGCCAAGATGTTTCCAAGTTGCACGTAACTCAAATGTGGTCTCCAACCCATCGGAAAGGCTATGGACCTGGTGTGGGTTCCAGAATTCATATAATTGAAACTTGTGCAAACGGTGCCCAGGTGGCAAAGACCACCGCAAGACAGAGACAGGATGGCCATCACAGCGCTGACCAGCCCCATAGTGCTCGTCAAATCATGTGTTTGACTTCCTTAGCAATGTTATAAGCTTTGACCGATATGCACCGAACAAACGCTTCAGTTTTTAAGTTTCACAAGTCACCAATGAAAACATTCATCTGAACAATGGAATTCGACGAGCTTCTGAGAACATCAAAAGCGAGGGCGGTGAAACCCAATTCAGAAAACGCTTTTGCAATCTGCGATGAACTCTCGGAGCCTGCAAATAATTCGATGCACATCACATGGGGAGGAACCTCAAAGTCTGCAGCGCGTCTGCAAACCATGGCCCATATCACAAGTTCAATCAGGACCCAAGGCAGCTCAAGTTGGGTCAAGCCATAGACATCACGGAGTTCCTGGAACGACAACGTTCCGAGCAGCACAGAAAGCAGCTGAAGCTGAATCATCATGGCACTGGCACGCAGCTGTCAAAAACAGAAAAACACATGTTTTGGTCTCATGTTAGACATGCCGTTAAGTTTGACAAGATCATGAGATCATATGACATTCTTGGTTGTTTTGCACATCTCCATGTATCTTGCTTTCGTGCAATTCGTCACAGCCATAAGGAACTGCGCAAAAACATCGAAAATGCATTGCAGCTTTGTCAGCAAACTGTCTGAAGCATGAGCATCATCCACTTCAGATTTACACGTTGCAAGGGGAGAGGTGGCACCTGGAGTCTGCACTCGATGGAGCTGAGGGTGCTCCCTGTGTGGCCCGTCCTGCCAAGCAAACATCTGGAAGCATATGTGCCATGACCAAAACGAAGCTGTGTGCATTGCAAAACATTTTCATGTCCAGCAAATCTGCATGCCTGATGGGCCGAAAACATCAAGAAAACTTTTTCCCCTGCTGGTCCGTCTCAGTTGATTTTCAAACGGCTTTGCGACTAAACATCAAAAGCCTTAGGCTCCCTTGTAAGTATTCAAGTCCACTTTGACATCGTCAAGAGTCTTCTTGCCTTGATTCAACTCTGACACCAGCTTGTTTACAATGCTTTCGCATTCTGCCTGGGTGTTGCTGCTGAGCTGAGCAACCTGCCTTCCAGTTGCATTATCATGGATTGCACAGACCATGAACTGACCGTTCTGACCCTTGCGCTTGTGTTTCTTCATCAAAAACTTTGCCTTCTCCTTTTGTTCCTTCTCACTGGTGTTTGTTTTTGCTTTCTTCTTACACTCAGCTTTCGGTTTCAAGTCCTTGCCCAACCGCTTCTGTCCTCAGAACGTTTTCATGATGATAACAATCCAAACTTGGTGCCATGGCTGATATACACTGAGATCAGGTCCGGTTAGATGCGCAGAAGGGGTATCACCTTCAAGAATTTCTGCAGCCTCCTGCATTTCAACGCTTTTCAATTTCAAATACTGCCATTGGTTGCCAATAAAAAGCACGATCAGTGACCCGAGTAAGTCCTTAACGCAATCGGGCTCTGGAGTGACAGCCGCTGCAGCCACCAGAGCGGTGGCATGTGGCCGAGGGCCAACCTAGAGGGGTATAGATGTCATCCAAACCCTTTGAAACCTGCCAAAACGAGGATAGATATGATTATATATATATATATTATATATATATGTATGTATCTACATATTTATTTGTTTATTCATTGAGCTGCTCTGAAACGAGGTCTGTTTTGAGAATGAAAAAGAAACTTGGGCATCTCAACAGCAATTTAAACTTTCATGAACATGGGTCCATGACAAGATTTGGATGCTTGCCAAAAAACTGCTGGATCCTTTCCATCAACACCGTTCTCCTTCGCAGGAGGCTTGCCTCCCAAAACCACAAATCAAACCAGGCATGCAAATGCATCAGACACATACAAAATTTAATCTTGGTGCCATGACCCTCTGCGAAACCCTTGCTATGGCCTGCAAGCTCTTCGTCCAAAATTTCAACCACTTTGCCTTGCAACTCACGCACGATCTTCTGCCGCATCTGGGATGCTGTCTCCTGCATCAATCGGGCAGCAATGGTTCTTCTACTGCGTGAATCTTCAAGCAAGGCTGCCAAACATCTTAAACTGAAAAGCTGCCCAATCCTGCAAAACAACAGGTTGGGAAGATGGACTCTCTGACTGCATGCCCTGCGCACATGCCTCCGGATCCTGAGCAGGAATGAAAAATATTTGCATGCAAGGACTCACATACACTGCGACAAATTTGTGCTTGTCAACTGTCCAAGCTCAAATGATTTAATTGAGACTCAATGCCCCATGCTTTGCCAATGTCATCTTCTGCAAACGGTTTCATGATCTCGAAGAGCTCTAAGACATGGGGTTCCGATCGAACCCACAACGGCCAACTCTCGTCCTTCTTAAAGGATTCACGGGCCTTTCTCCACGTCTTCCTAGCAAACCTGAGAAATGAAAGGATTCTGGGTTGCATATGGGGTGAATGCTGAACATTCGTTCAAAGATGATTCCCTTTTCTCAAGTAGCTGAGATACTGCATCAAAACTTTCAAATCGTACACCATCAACCAAACCTTTCCGTCTGGCTCGCTCTGGCCGACTGTCTTGCGAAGGGTCGCAAACAGGGAGTCATTGTGAATTGGCATGGAGGGCGAGGCCAAGGCCAAAGGCTTCAAAGCCCAAACGAAATCACTGAGGCATTCTTTTGCGAGGCTCTTGCCTTGGGTTCAAAATCTTGGAGTAACAGGCGTTGCGGTTCAAAATCTTGGGGTATAACAGCATTGCAGTTCAAAATCTTGGAGTAACAGACATTGCAGTTCAAAATCTTGGAGTAACAGACATTGCGGTTCAAAATCTTGGGCAAATAAAAAGCAGCATGACACATGCCCGATCTGAGGCTGGGCACTCTTGCAAGCGTACTCATTGAAAATCTTTTCCGGGGCAGCCTCAAGGGCACCTGAAACTTTCTCTGGCATGATTTCTTTCATCTGCGTACACACTTGGTCGACTTGGCCCTGCTCGAGAGCCAGCTCTACAGTCCCTTTTTGCCGACCCATTGCCACAGTTTAAGCAATGTCGGCTAGATCCATGCATGCTGCGGGCTGACATGAAGCATGCAAAGAGGTTCCATTGCATGGCCATTCACAAACTAATTTTCTACAGTTGTAAAACATTGCAAAACATTGCAAAACTATTTCGAACTCCACAGAAATCAAAGCTTAATGAGTCCTTGTAGCAAGAGCCGTCTGCGCTTTGACATTCACTGAGTGCTCACATCCTGCGTGCTCAACTTGAAACCAGCTTGAGAAATTCAATGTTTTGAGTCCTTCCTGGCATCTCTTCCGAAGACTTGCTCATTGCAACCAAATGATGAAATGAAATTGCAATCTGCCTCGCATATGAAGGGCAGGTTTGCGAACCTGGCATTGAAAAGCGTGGCAGCTCATTCAAAATGAGTTTTGACTTCACGTATTTCAAACCGCTTGCAGCTTCCAAACATCAAACCATACTGCGTGATTGTTGAACACAAACCCGAAACTTTTTTGTCAGCATTTCCATCTTCTGCCCCTCTGCGCTTGGCACAACCCAAGGCAAGAACAAAAATCTATTGGCATGACACTTTAAATCACTTTGTCCGAGGCCTCTTAGCCACGAGTCCATCTGCATGGTCAGCATCCCATTCGGATGGGAATTCAACTAACTGTTCATTGGATTCAGGCTCTATGCCTTCGTCCAAAAGTCCACCACCGTCTTCATCATGTCGAACGCACGTGGCCCCATCATCCTCGATCAGGAATTGAAAGAATTCTTCATCATCGTCTGGAACTTCAGTGGCAGGGTGTTCCACACACGTTTCAGGAACCAGCGTCGTTGCTTCCTCCACCCATGTTGCATCACCATCCTCATCAGGACCAACAGTGACAGTGCGAACTGAAAAGGCTCCAATGGGGCGCGCTTCACTCCCTGCGAACTCCGCCTCGCCAAACTTCGTCTGCATGGCCTTGCTGCCAATTCCAGCACTCTGCAATTTCGGAGGAGCTGCGCCTCCTGTCAACTTCTGGTTGAAGAGGGCGGTAACTGCCTCTGAGTTGGCATTACCAACCATTTCCTGGCAGGGAAGAAAACAACAGTGCCAGCGCAAACCCAACTCAATTTGAACACAGGGAAATGTCTCCCGAGCCGACGGGGCACCCTTGAAAAACAAAAGTGTTTGCGATATACATCCCTTAAAAAAAAAATGAGCCAAAATATTTTCTTTGGCCCCGGGCAGGCCTGTTGCAAGGCTTGAACTGCCTTCAGACTGCGCTTGGCTGCCTTGGCATAGTTGCGGGCAACCCGTTGGGCTTCATACGCCTCGGCCAACATCGCATAGGCCATCTCCTGCACGTGGAGGTATAAAGATGAAACCGTGGAAACGCATGAAGAAATCAAAGGAAACTAGGCCAATTCAATGATCAGAACTCATGTTGGATTCAAAGCGACGAGAAATGGTAATTATATTTTGTGCGATGTAAAGTGTCACATATATATATATATAGAAATCAGTCTAACAAATTCCTCAGCCTGTGCATGCAACGACTTCACACAAAACTGCTATATAAGTATACATCATCTGCTTCTGTGCTTTTATTCGGTTTTAAAACTAAACGCCCACTTCCACTTTGCGCCTGGTTAACCCCGCTACTGGAGCTGCTACTGGAGCTTGAGGTCGCAGGCGTCCATGGTACCTCAATGTCAAAAACGTGAGAGCAACAAATCTCGCAGGTGTCCCTTAAACTTCATCAGGGACAAAAATAAAAAATTGGCATCACAACTTGAGCAGGAATGCATCTGGCACTTCCACGGCAGGTGGAGGCTTGTTTATGCCACGCTCTGCCCATGGGCACTTCGGCGGGGACGGCGGCCTAGGGCGCCTCTTAGGCAATATTTTTGGGGCCATCTTCAGTATGACCATATGGGCAACAACGTCTGCGGTTAGCGACGGATAAATATCAAAAGACATGGCTTTAAAACTGCGGAAAATGCTCAACTCGAGAGTTCCAGGAGTGCAAACATGCCAGACAGGCGGGCTCAGAAAGTCGAGCTTTGCACTTCTGCAGTTTTCGGCCCTCGTCCTGGCCTGCAACGAAAATGTGCAGAACAGTAGTAAACAATCTGTGGCCGCAAAATGATTCATGTATGTATGTATGTATGTATGTATGTACGTATGCATATGAACTGAAACATATGCAAGCCTGCATGAGCATTTCACGGCCATGGCTGATCCCATCGACAGGCGTTTCAAATTGAAAGCAGAAAAATGTGTTTGATTGGCTCTCTTTGTACATGTTTAAGGTGACATGCAGGGAAAGTAAATGGGCAGAATTGGTGTCTGAGCCACGGGCATGCAGTTCATAATCACATTGCCTTTGGTTCGTGTTTTCCAAAAAAGAGCTTATACATCTGCGGGGCTGAAACCCGATTTTTGC